GTGACATTGGAGGGCACATCTGAGCAGCTAGTGGGCCAGAAATTAAAGGGGGGTGGAGCACAGAGGGAGCCCAGGGCCTACTGCAAAACCTAAATCTCCCTAAGTCCCAGCTTCAGTTCCGTAGTACACCATGGCTGATGATAAATCAAACACAAGTACTGGCAGGGAATTCTGGGTTCTGTGGCCAGCAGAGACTTGCAGCATCTCAGCTCCCACCTCCCTTGTAGGAAGGCGTTTTACTTCCCTGCCTCCTCAAGACTGCTCCTCCCCCAAAGATAAGAACTTTAGCCCATATTGGTTAAGAAAGAGAAGGGCCAAAGGGCAAAGAATGGGGCATTGTATTTAGATTGTCTGTTTTGGTGGGAAGGGTATTTTAATCATTTCAATTTAACTCCTCTAGAATAGTATTCATAGTTTTCAAAACATACTCCTTTTCATAGGCCTGAACCAGGAAAAAAACCCTCCAACAATTTAAAATAAAAGCAAGTCCACTTGTTTGTCTTTCTCATATTCCTTATACTTTTTACTTCTTGCACTTCCTTGAAAATAGGTCTCTCAGGAACTAGGTGATTTATAAAATTAACCCAAGCTTGAACAGAGTATAATTAACTATCCATGAGGCCTTCAGGACAGACTGTCACAGATTCATAAGATTGCCTCTACTTCCACCTGTGCCAAGCCCAGGAGACCAAAGCTCATATTTTTAAAGATTACCAGAGCTAAGCATCTGCCTTCAGCTCAGGTCATGAACCGGGGGTCCCTAAGATCGAGTCCCGCATCCAACTCCTTGATCAGCAGGGAATCTGCTTCTCCTCTGCCTGCTGCTCCCTCTGCTTGTGCTCTTTATCTCTCTCTCTCTCTATCAAATAAATAAATAAAATCTTTTTAAAAATTAAAAAAAAAAGATAACCGGAGAATCCGTTTTTTGTTTCCAAGAAATCCAGTTCTCCCAACATCCACTCATCTTCGACCTAATTCTGCCACCCCCACTCCCACTTTATTTTAGACAACGGTGGAGAGATACTCTTTCTTGTAAACACTTTTGTTCATAAAACCTTGTTTAGCATCTGGTCCAGCTACAGCATCAGGCAATAAAGCCATCATCAGCAATGATCGTGTTTGTAGATGTTCTAGGTCTAGAAATCATTGCTGGCATGTTTACATGCTCAAAACATTCTGGGAAGTCTGTTGGTTTCTAAAAAGCTTGTGCTTTCTTCTGAGAAACTTCTGAGAAAACCTCAAGGACCAAGATACTAAAATAAACACATCAGCTTGGTGACCACTTGACTGAGCTAAGCCCTACCTATTGCCCCGTCTCCAGGTTAAAATAGAGTGAATAGGAACATAGGAGTGGGTGGCTGCCTTTGAGGTAAGGTTCGAGGGTCACTACAGAAGCTGTCTGCCTCATGAGATCAAGTCTACCACCTATCATTTAAGCTATATGACTTTGGTTCTTGAAGACGTTTTCTTCCTTTATTTAATGCAAGCCATATTTAAATGCAACCATCTCTGGGGACGATTACATCTGAAGCCATTATCTGGTGAAGACCGGCACACAGAGCATTTGGGAGGAAGAGTGAAGCCTGGACACAGGGGTGGGTTGGAACTGTGAGAAGGAAAGAGGAAATCAGTGAAAAAGGAGGTAGAGAGCCACCGAATTTAGCTTTCCTCCCAATTTAGGCAAAAACTGTTGACCTAAAATTGTCTGAGGAAAATCTCTCCTTCCTTTTGGATGTTATTTTATTGTTTTTCAACTTCCATGCAAAATTTTCTGCTCATCACCTACACTCATATTACAGCATGGACCTCTCCTTCTGTCACACATGGACTAGAGGAATAAGTTACCTATCTGTTAGTCTCTGCATAAGATGAAGTTGCCTATTGCAAATATTTCCAGTTTGCTTTAGAAAGCTTAATGCCCCATTGCTTCTTTTTAGTTACTTCCTGCTGTTAACTTAGGTGAAATGCTTTTTGTGATTCTTGGTCAGTAAATACCCTCCCTGGGCTCAGAATATATTTTTAATTTTTTATTATGAAACAGACAAGTACAAAAGTGAAGCATCGTTAATGTGTACTTAACAAATAGGATGTGAACATCCCGTAACTTCCAACTGGATCAAAAGATAGGACACCGCAAATATCCCAGAGACCCACTCTGATCACAAACAGCATACTTCTCTCTTCCCACTTCTGTGACGATGATTTTCTTCCTCTTTTTTTTCTTTGTAGTTTTACCTCCTATCTATGTCTCTAAGCAACATCGTTTAGTTTTGTCTTTTCCTGTGATCTGTAAACAGAATCACACTCTGTATTTTATTATTCTTGCATCTTTGGCTCAAGATCATTCACCCAGCGTCACACACAGCACACTCTAGACGTGTGTCTAATCTAACACACGTAGCTTCTTCATTTTCATGGCTGTAGCATATTCTGGTGTATGGAGAACTATTTGAATCCATTCTCCTTCTGGCAGTCAGTTGGGTTGCTGCCAGGTTCTAGCTCTTGTGAATAATGCTGCTCCTGGTGCGTGTGCTCCTGAGTGCCTCTAGTGAGTACATCAATGACTGGACATGCTGGTATATGCAGATCTTCAACTTCACTTGGCAACAGGAAGCTGTTTTTTCCAAAAGTCTTGTTCCAATTTATACTGCCCATCCTAGTATCTAAGAACTATTGTTCTAGGGGTGCTGGGCAGCTCAGTTGGTTGAGGGTCAGACACTTGATCTCAGCTCAGATCATGATCTTGGGGTCAGGTGATCGAGCCCCAAGTCGGTTGGACTCTGAGCTGAGCATAAAGCCTGTCTCTCACCCTCTGCCTCCAGCCCCCTGGAATTTAATAACAATGGTGTTGTCTTTACAGAACTGACATGTAAATCATACCTGTGTCCCTCAAAACTTAAAAACTCTTTCCAGGAATCATGCTTCCTCCCAAGATGGACCCTCCACAGGAGCAAAATAATGATCAATATCATCTGGTAAAGCTATTGCATTAAAAACTATACCAAGGTTCGGGGCGCCTGGGTGGCTCAGTGGGTTAACCCTCTGCCTTCGGCTCAGATCATGATCTCAGGGTCCTGGATTGAGCCCCGTGTCGGGCTCTCTGCTCAGTAGGGAGCCTGCTTCCTCCTCTCTTTCTGCCTGCCTCTCTGCCTGCTTGTGAGCTCTCTCTGTCAAATAAATAAAATCTTAAAAAAAAAAAAAACTATACCAAGGTTCAAAAAAAATAAAAAAGAAAAATATAAATAGAAACCATACCAACAGAATTTTAAAGGTAGCTCATTGATGTAACTAATTAAATAAGTGCATTTCATGTCAGTTTTCCGGTACTGCTCCAAGATCCAATCCATTAATATTTAGATAAATCAAAGGGTCTTTAACATTTGCTGGGATTTCCCTCAAGAGATTAGTTCATGAGACACTTTAGTCATGTGTTTCATTTTCTACTTGTGACAGGCACTTGTGAGATGAGCAACACAATCCAGCAGTTACAGGATATTCAGTGACAACCAAAAATGAAAGAAACAGAAGATGAGAGTGACACACCCTATTCTCTAAGAGATACATTTTTATATAAGCTATTAATTTACCAGGACACTCAACAAATGCAAGAAATGGACAATTTTTAAAAAAGGAATTTAAGGGACGCCTGGGTGGCTTAGTGGGTTAAAGCCTCTGCCTTCAGCTCGGGTCATGATCCCAGGGTCCTGGGATCGAGCCCCACATCGGGCTCTCTGCTCAGCAGGGAGCCTGCTTCCTCCTCTCTCTCTCTGCCTGCCTCTGCCTACTTGTGATCTCTATCTGTCAAATAAATAAATAAAATCTTAAAAAAAAAAAAATAAAAAAGGAATTTAAAACCAATGAAAAGATAAACATCAAGCAAGACTCCTATGAATTTACATGTTATTAATGGCGTTTTTGTCTTTTTACTATAAATGTCTAATAAAATCCTGTAAATCCTGCAGCTACAGAAACAATTTTCAAAGAATCGAATTAACCAGAAGCAGTGACTCAAGTATAATATTGCTTACAAAAGGGGATGGACCAATATAGCTTTCAGTATCCCTCCCTGGATGCTAAGAATAGCTCTTGGGACAGGAGCAGCTAGCTTTCTGCATGTTAAGTCTCCTCTCTAGTATCTCTGGGCAACGGCCTGTCAATGGGATCTGAGCCAAACTCTTCCCAATGATGTAGACACTCTGGTGACTTGTACCCCTCTTGCCAACAGCTTCAGACAGGCTTGGACTTCGCATCTACAAATATTAACCTCACATATATCCTACTTTATAGAAACAAATAGTGAAAACAATTGTATTAATCACTTCTATATACTTCACACATTTTGGAAGGTTCATTATTCTTTACCTCCCTCCAAGATATAAATTCTTGCTTATAAAAGTGCTGCAAGCACAGTGCAGCATACTTTCTAGTTGTCCATGTACCTCCATTCTCTCCTATATGACCAAATGGCTACAAAGATTTAGAGGTTCAGTGATTATAGGACTTAAATGCTTTTAACCCCTTTAAATTTGGAAACTCTTTAAATCCCATTATCTCTGCAGCCATGGAGAATTTTAAAATCAGCTTGGCCTTTCTAGCTCCAGGTCTAAGGATTACAGAGTTTTAAAGAATATAAATGCTTTTCTGCAGTTCTACAAAGAGCTATCCCCAACTAGTTGACCTCCAGGAAATAAAGCCAGCCTATTCTCCAGCTGGTAACTGCTGATCAGAGTTTTGAAAAAGAAAGATATGTATGTTATGCCACAAACCACCAGGAAAACAAGTAATTGCCTCCTCTGATCCTCATGAAGCTAGTGAATCCAAAGATTCGATGTAGAGGGGGCCAGCAGACTTCACACATGTGTCAGTAAATGTTTGAGAATGAGAAATCAGAAAATGCCAGGGACCCAAAGAAGCTTGTAGGGGCAGAGAGAGTAAGTTCAGTGATTAGGAGCCTGTTACCTTGGTACCCATGGATCCTAGGAAATCCTCTGAGGTCTTACCTCTTGTGTCCTCACATTTATGTATCCATAGTGAGTTCGAAGGGGCCGCATATATGTGTAGGAGAATGGAATCCATTTTGTGCCAGGCTGTCTGAAGCAGTTTAGCAGCAGTGGGAAATTCACTTCATTTACCAGGCGCACAACCAGCAGGAAGAGGAACGCTGCTATGAAGCTCACTGCGATCACAGACTTTCTCTACAAAATATTTAAAAAAAAAAAAAGAGTGAATGAATGAACAAATGACTTTCAACCAAAAGTAGTCACAGAGGGAGATGCCTTTGTTTCTCTCACTTTTTCTTTCAGAGGGATCAAAGGATGATTTCATTTAGGATATTTCACTTGCAGACGGAACATAATCATTTGGTGACCAGGTTGCTTTCATAAGCCTCTGAGAGCAAGCAGAGCAACTTTCTTAGATTATCTTTCCCTCCATTCCTACTCTTCCTTACTTCCCTATATCCCTCAACAATTTCTATTCAATTTTCAAAACACAAATCAGACATTCTCAACTACAGGAAGCCTTTCCTAACTGCTCAGGTCCCCTCCCGTCATCATCCCTTCACCCCAACCTATCTACCCTAATAGAAACAAGCAGTCCTGCCACACTCATACCTTGAAGGTAATTTCTACTGTTGCATGTGATCCTTTGTATAATTATTCAAATGACTTTTCCTCCATCTAACTGTGATATCCAGAGAACAAGAATGTATTGTCATACTGACTTCTGTATCCCAGGTCCTTGACACAGTACCTTACATACTGGAGGCGTCCAGGAAACATCTGAGTGAATCAGTGAATGAATGAATGAATGGATTTTTCACATCCTTGTAGACACTTTATTAACAATGACTCTGTTTCTCTATCTAGCACCCTCAACAGCAGGAAACTTTGCACAAAAGTAAGACTCAAAAAGCTAAGAATACGAGTAGGACAAAATCCATGCCCAGAAGCATAAGGACATCTGTGTAAATGTGTTGCTATGGAGCAAGAGCAGGAGAAAGGGCACCTGACTGGGGTGGAAGAGAGCAGAGCTGTGGCTGAGACTGCGCAAGATAAAATGCATGAATTTTGTTCAGTAGAGATGTGTGAGTGAAGCTTTCCAGGTAGAGGGCAAGGAGGCAAGAAAACATGGGGTTATTCATAGCTACATAGCATACTGTCTTCCTGGAGCACAGAGGAAGAGAAAACGCTGGAAAAACAAATGGTAACTTGACGGACTGCCTGAAAATCCAAGCTAAGAAGTCCAATGAGTTTGCTAGGTGACAGAAGACCAAAGGATGTTTTGTTTGTTTGCTTGCTTGATTTTTAAAAAGTGACTGTTATAAGTTATAATCAAACATAAGTACTTAAGATGTTTTAGAGCAGGGAGACACTAAAGCTAGGCAGCAACTTGTTAGGAGGCTGTTCCAACTGGTTCAGATGAGGGATGGGAACCAGAGCAGTGGCAAGGGGAATACAAGGGTAGAAAAAGATATGAGAAACTAAGTGTAGGTGATAGGCAGAAACCATGACTCCTGATTGGACAGAGGTGCAGATGGAAAATTCAGAGACTCCTTAGAGTTCAAATCTAGGTAACTACAAGAATCCTGGTCATATCAAGAGACACCAGAGTGGTCAGAGCAAGAACTGATTTAAATGAGTAATAGGATAAAGCCCTTGGCTTTCAAAGTCCTGGTTTTCTCCAGATGGCAGGTCATCTGAATGGAAGGTCAAGTCTAGAGCAAGGAGAGCAAAGCGGAGGGCAGATGTCAGGAATAACTCTGCCTTGAAGTCCATGGTGAAGACACAACCAGATATTCTCCCCCCTTGAAGCTGGGCTCAGCCGTTGATTCTTCTTCAAACTTAAGGAAAGCCAAATAACTCTCCAGGAATGACTAGATACGTGTTGTTGTGTTTCCAGCTTAAGTTTCTTTTTGCTCTTCACAGAACACCCCAAGAAGAAAAGAAACCCAAAGCCAGCCCTTGTTCCTCCCTGGGCCATGGTCACAGTCTCTGCAAGGAAGGACAGTGGAATAAGTCCCCAGAAGCCAGAGACCCCAAAGGAAGTCTTTGCTCTTGCTCAGCTCCCATAACTAATAAAAGCCCCATCCCTCTGTCTAGCCAGCCTAATTTCCCAATCACCTGAAAGTCCCTTGAGTTCTGCCTCCTCAAAACCCCTTATCTCACCACTAACTACCACCGCCTTACCTCATTTAACCTTCTAATCATGAAAAACTGTTTTAATTTGCTCCTCTGTGGAATCATTATGTCCACAACATTGCAATGTGTCAAGGTAACAGCTTAAATGAGGTGATGGATCTTACAAGTTTAAAGGAACACAGACCAGAACAGATGGCTAAATAAAAGCAAAGAGACCAGTCACCCATTAAGTAAACAGGTAAGAACCTTTTTTATCACCATCAGGTAGCTTGTTGCAAAACAGCAGTTTTCCTTGAAGGAGACCCAGATGGGATTTGTGCCTTTGTCTACTCCAGAGCTCCGCGCGGCTCTGATTCTCCTGCTTTCTGCATTGCGTTGCATGGCTGGGGTTTGGGGACAAAGGCTCGGAGGGCCTTTCTGAATTCGCTGATCTCGCGTAGCCACACATACATAATGCGTACATGAGAGGAAAATAAGTCAACCTTTTGGAGAGAAACTTCAAAATGGAATGAAATCACAGTTGTTAAGAGTCTGCCTCCCATGTTTTATCAAAGGGAACCAAGTAATGAGCACAGAAAGGGTGAGGGGAGCAAATGGAGAGTAGATGCCAGACAGACTCATCTGTGCTTGACCTGGAATCCTATTCTGCAGTGGGCAGAGTGTTCTTTTCATAGCTTGGGCTTTGCCTGGACCAGATTCTTTGTCTTTCTTTACCCTGCAATATTCTTCTTTAACACGAAAGCATTCTCAGAGTGCTGATATAAAAGCACCCTGAAATTCCACTAGCAGAGGTATAATTTCAAGCACATTCTGTACTTCAGACAGCAAGGACAACAGGATGGCACACTGACACGCATCCTTCTAGCAGGCATTCCTGGCAAATCACGACCTTGAGCTTTAGCAATGACAATAAAGCCTGTGGATGAGGCTATTGGAAGTCTACCATCCCAGAATGCAGTGAGAATGTGTATGTGTGCTTGTGGGAGGGATGTGGGAGTTGGGGAAGTAACAAAATACTAACATGTATGATATATATGAATGCATTTACTCCTCCAAGTCACAGTCACTCATTGAGTCTGAGCTCTGTACAGACTGGATGAGGGGCTGAAAAGCAGAAATAAATCCCTAAAAGTCATAAAACGATGCCTCCAGAGTCACACCTTAGTGCCCCTGGCAAGTAAACAGAAGGGTAGCACGTCACATGTCAAATGAGGTAATGGAGGTTACGCACAGGGCGCTGTGCCAGTCCAGAGGAAGTGGGAAGGGCTGTGCGTGGGACAGGGAATGCTTATTTGGGGAGGCAGTATTCAAAAGGGGTCCTGAAGAATGAGGTGGAGTTAGATAAGTGAAGATCAGAAGGGCATTCCAGGTAGAGGGAACAGCATAGACCAAGACCTTAAATTGGTCAGCAACCTGCAAATGACTCGGTATAAAGAGTACATAGACTGTATGTGGTGGGAGATGATGGTAGGGAAGTAGACAGGGTTCAAATCCAAACACAAAAAATAGTAAGCCAAATACATTCGGTCAGATGCAATTATCTGTCCCATCCATCTTACATTAGGATAATGAAAGGATAAATGCATAAAAGTGTTATGCTTTATAGTCCTAAAACTTGCTGCACTTTCCAATCAAGTGAAAATGTATCAATCATGTCATCGTATTTGATATTGCCATCTAACACACCACAACGCCTTGTTTCTAATTACTTAAGTTTATTCCATCAGTGACTTGTTCAAGCAATTGTTTTGGGTCCAGCAACACTCAGCAAATTAGAAGAATCTACTTATTTTTCTGCTCTGTGTCTAACAATCTGCTTATGGTAGCGATCACTGCTGCCTTTAATGAAGTCATCAGGGCATCTCCTAGATCCAACAACCAGCAACTAGGTAAGAAAAAGCAACAATTAAATACTCATCAAATTTATAATGGAGAAGACTCAGTCTGACAAACTTTTCATACTGCAAAAATAGGCAGTACATTTAATAGGTCTTTCTTCTAAGATTAGAAGTATGCACTTTCGGGGCATCTGGCTGGCTCAGTCAGTAGAGCTTGTGACTCTCAATCTCAGAGTCATGAGTTTGGCATGAAGCCTACTTTAAAAAAAAAAAAAGAAGAAGAAGTACAAACTTAAAACAATACAACAGGTGGAAAATGCACCATTCTGGCACACAGTGAGTACTCAAAATGGGAGATATTATCATTATAACTACTAATTGTCAGAGCCTTGTTGGCCATTAGCCAGTTGGTAAGAATTGGCCTGCCCATGTAATTCATGATAAAAACTTGGAGATATCTTTTCTCAATATTCCAGGCAGCTGCACACCCTTGAACTATTCAGTGAAACTTATCCACACAAGCTCTGAGAGAATGTCACTGTGCCCAAAGAGATCTGATGAATTGCTTTAGGGAATGCTTTCTCCTTCTTTGTTCCTCATTTTGGGCAACTCTGAAGGGGCCTTTAACAGCTGAGACATTTAGAATTTAATCCCCTCTGTGCTGCAAAAATATGCATCAAAAATGTGGCATTCCAGTTGCTTGCTCTTTAGAGTTGGAATATCATTTATCAGACTTACAGCAGAGATACCTATCTCAAAATAAAATCCACAGAGAATTTAAGATTTAGGGAGAAAATAATCGCAAATATTTGTACCTAGCAAATTTGCAAGCTGTATTAATGTTTGTATGTTTTTATTCTTTCTACCACAGAATTAGTCTTTAACCTCAGGATAAATTCTTTACCTTTTAATTTAGTCAGTTGCTAGATTTTTTGTTTCCTTTTCATAAATGATTAACGATAGTCTAAAGCTGTATTTTTTCCATTTAAACAGCATTATTTAATTACCAAAATAAGTTATTTTCCAGGGTAAAACTGTATATATTTTTATCCATATGCTGTCATCAATCCAATAATAAATATTTGTGCTGATTGTTTATTTATATCAGTGCTCAAACACTTCACACATTGACAAGTCTACCCATTACATATTTGTGACCTTATTAAACACAAATTCTTTTCCCATATAGAAAATTGTGTCATCAATTTAATTCTACCT